GGCGTGGTGGGGCGGGACGGGGTGAGGGTGCCCCGCCCCGAACCCGCCCCATTACCATCACTAGAGTCTATTGGAGTTTATTTTTAATCACTGACTTTCTAAAATAAAGAATATTTTGTATTTAATCCATGTTTGAATCACATTAAAATTTTCATTTTTATTATTCTTCTAATTTTCAACCACACATTTTTCAATAAAATAATATTTCCCATCACATCAATATCTTTTCCTTCTTTTTCAACCACACACTTTATCAATCTACTGTTCCAAAATACATTTTTTCCAAAATAATGTGGCTCAAACACACCCTTAAAGAATCCCTTGAAAATACTTAATACTAGCTTGGGTGGTAGTAAACCCCTGTTTGTTGGGAATTAAAATCAGATTTATAATATATTTTGATAAAAGTTGATAAAATATATTGTTGAAAAGTTTTGGAACCCATATTTAATTGAAATTATCACATAATATCACATATACGGATACTCTAGCACCAGTAATGTTAGATAGTATTATTTTCGAAAGTTGAAAAAGACTTCCATCTTGGCCAAACACACCCTTAACATAAGAAAAATAAGTGCTCTCTCTCGAAAGTCGGATTCCACCTCACCTCGCCTCGCCTACTCGCGTTTCGTCCATTTCCTTCGTACGCGATCAATAGGAAACGACCGATAGCTTCTCCTCACTTCCACCTTGACATTTAATACAGAGCTTCAGGTTTTTGTCTTTCCGATGATCTGAAACTTAAAGGTAAATTCTAATCATAATTATACTATCAAATCGTGTTGTTGTTGGTTTTTTATTTTATTTTATTTTCTTGTCATGAATAACTTAATTTATTTTTCAATCACATAGGTGAATTACTCATGAAACGCTGCATCGGCTGATAATTCATTCATAGTTTTGAATAATCATGGGTTCAGTTTTTAATTTGGAGCATTACTATAGTAATTGGACATTATGTTATTCCAAGCTTTTGAATTAATTAGCTTTCAGTTGCCGTCAGAACGTGTCCATCATAATGTCCAATTTAAGGGGATTCATTGTAACAAATATTAGAGGTAGATTTGTGGTATACAGCTAATGTTTGATCCCATGATCAAAGTGGTAAACTCTGAAAATCATGTAATTGTTATGACCTAAGGCGATTAGCCTCAGCGCTGTAGTTAGGGACTTAGGCCATTATTTGGTAAGCCTAGATGTAGGAAAGATTGAGAAAACTTACATCCTAAGCAATGATGGATGGAATTGAGCAAAGCTGAAATCACAATTGGGCTCATGAACTAGAGGATGACCTCCATGCTCCAGCTCACTCAGGAATTGAACATATGAATTTTCCAATTAAGAGTTTGGCATTTTAACCTATCTGTCGTGTATGCAAAGCAGGGATCCCCATACATGGTGAATAACCAAATTACCGAGTGACATACAATAAAGGAAAATAGTATTTAATGTTGTACACCTCGCGTCACACTAGCTAAACACGGGGTAGTGTCTATAAGTGATTTTTTTGTACTATGCACAGAGCTTCGGAGATGATATCAATGCAAATTTAGACTTAACATGGCACAACCTCAATATTTGCACTATTTATTGGTGCAGCATGTTTGTAGATGATACGATCACGGTATACAAATAATGCATTACATATTGATCTACATGTCTTATATTAGTTTATTATGCCATCTTTAATGATCTCCTTTCCATATTGCCTAACTAAATAGGAAACTAGGATGCTCACTTTCACCCTATCTTCAGTTACTATCCTAGGTCAGCTTATACAAGTCGATTAGCTTCACACTAAATTTTTGCAGTATATGCCTGCAGATTTATAAATGATAGATACCGAATGCAGCTCATTGAGGTGAACATCTAATTATTGCAGTATTATCAGTGGTATCTCTCTCTCTCTCTCTCTCTCTCTCTCTTTCTCCATGACTCTTTATATTTGCAGTCAACTGTATTGACATCTGGGCATAAATTAGCTTACCATCTCGTCAGCATTAATGTAGAAATAAATGCACAAGGCGTGTACTTTCTTATAACTCATTGGTAGATACTGTGCTTTTGTTCTGTATTATTGTATTTCAAGATAGATGTAATATATCTCTAGTTTTAAATTTTTTACTCGCCACATTAGAGTTAGATGAATTGTGTTTTATGGGTAGAAGTGAGTTTTACACTTCACGAACAAAGCTCGCATGACTATTATGTATTCTTATGTAGGTTGTCATCTTTCCGATTTATATTCACGTGATGACGCAAAAAGGAGCTTCATTGACAGGGTTTGAGCAGCAAGAATTCACATCCTGAATTTTGATCTGCGAATTATCTGATATTCAGTTCAATGTTATTGTCACATGAGAGAATTGGTTGTTCAAGCACTTAAAGAGTTGTTTTGCTTGGCATCTGTTCTATCCCTCCAAGATCATCTCTTCTTTCTTGATTCTTGCAAAAGTTCATTGCACTATTTCAATGAGCGACTCAACTGAAGATATTAGTTCTTGGACAAAGTCTGATGTGACGAATTTTTCCACCAGTAAAGATGCGTCAAAAAGACGTTCAATCACTTCTGGCTCTACATCTTTTGCACGTCAACCTTTAAGACCAATAGTTTTGTCCAAAGGTTGGAAGATTGGAAAGGGAAGTGCTGGTCAGGTGGCTTCATTTCTAATTAAAACTCTTGCATTAGAGACCTTGCGGAGGTTCTCAAATGCGAGGTGTCCATTCCTCTGGACTGGGCTGCAAGCTTTGCAAGTTCTTTGTTATCCCCCATTAAAGTGGCTTCAGTGCTGGAATCCTTTTGGATTTGTAATTAAAGGAATGCAGGTAGGTTCTTAACTGACAGAGGTGTGATATGCATTCCATAGCTAAGCATAGCATGCATATTATATGATATAGGTTGTAAACTTGCATTATTAAATTTACAAATTAATTGAAGCTTCCCTAGAGCTCTAAGTTTAACAGTGAAGGGAATAGGATTTTTTTGTTGCAAAAAAACTAGGAGCCTTCATTCCTTGATCTTCTGTGCACATTTGTTTGGTTATCTGTTTTCATAGTCATTTGAAGCTTTATGGATGTTGATGTGATTCAAGAATTCTACAAGTGTCAGGGCCGAAATCTGACTTCTAATCCATGCAACATGAAGCAGCACGGCCAACTAACTTGAAATTCTTGAATGTTGCTAGGTATTTGTCTACCCAAACTTGTTTCTGAATCAAAAAGTGCATATCCAACTGATTTTAGACTTATTTGAATACACTGTCTTTCCAAAATACAGCTAGTAAAGTTATTCTTGGAAGTTTTGTAGATTTATATATTCTGTTTGGGCATTCTTTGAAGGCCAGATTTTACGTTTAATAATTAGATAATAAAAATGATTTTACTTAATCTTGTATTTGTCATATAAGTTTGAAACTCAATAATGTTTCGCGGAATATGAATATTGAGAAATTGGTTTTACATTATCTTTAAAACACTGGATTACTTGCTGTTAAAGGTTATTTTTCTTATCTATCTATTTTATTATCATTATTACTTAGATTTGCTTTGAAACTCTGGATTTTACATTTGATCAACAGTGGATTACACATGTGAAAATAATATTATAATAAGTTGTGTCAATATTGAAGAAGCATATGGACTACATGGTTTCATTTTGATTCTTCTTCTTGGGCTTGCTTAAAATTGAAACCACAGTTGTTAAAGCCTGGCTCTGGAATCGATTTATATCATTTAACCATGTGGGTTTTCATATGTTATGTCACGTGTTTATTAATTTTCTCCAGTTTGATTCTTGTTATAAAATTTAACCAAAAGAGAAAGGCACAGTCTTAGTAATGATTCCTCAACACTCCTCCCACACCCCCCCCCCCCCCCCCCAACACCACCCAAAAAAAATAATAATAATAAATAAAAANAAAAAATAATAATAATAAATAAGAATAATCATAAAAAATTGAACTATGCCACAATGAAAGTTTTATTGGAATCATAAAAACTGAATTTAAGAGATGATACTTTATATTCATTAAATCAAACCGAAGGTTCTAAAATTAATAATGAACTGCATGCTTTGGTGTGTTAATATACCTTTCAATGTATTTTCCTTAAGAGTTTGTGCCTGTATGTCATTTCTCTGGACTTTTCTTGTTCATGGTATTTATTTTTGTTGTAGATGTTATCTCAACCGTTATTGGTGCTCTCTATTGGGGCTGCTATTTCTAATCATTCAGATTACAGCAATTTTGTCCTAGATGGCACTGAAAATTCTCAAAACACCAATGATTTACAAGCAGAACCTCGATTAGAATCCACATCTGAAGAGAGTGATGACAACATGAGGTATGCAAATTGATTCTTATCCTCACTTAACATCCACCAGCATAGAGATTCGTGGAAAATGTTTTTGATCAGTCTCAATGGAATGCTAATGTTTATAGTATTTATCTACAACATGAAAAGATGTAATTAGTTATATAAGAAAATGGAAAGATCATAGCAGACATCAAAGGAATTATAGCGGTCAAATGTTTATAGTATTTCTCTACCCCATGAAAAGATGTAAAAAGTTATCTAAGAAAATGGAAAGATCATAGCAGACATCAAAGGAATTATAGCGGTCAAGTGCAGCTGTGCAATCTATTTGGAAGAGGGTGCTAAACCATCTAGAGAAATAGTACGTAGGCTATATCCTACCATGAAAGATGTTGTGAAGGCAAGTTAGATGTTGGGGCCATTAAATAATTGGATTAAGGCATTAAAGATTAAATGCTTGCTTTACAATCAATGCATAACCAAAGGCTCTGTTAAAATGCCCTTCTTGTTTATGATGCAAATGTTCGAATGCCTGAATCTCATTTCAGTTATTCCCCTTTGCTTGGAGGTGAATGGTACTTAGGCCTTTTTGTTCTTATGCTTTTGAGTGCAGAAAACATACCTGATTAGCATGCAGATTTTTTATGATGTTTGCTATCAATTTATTGTCATATAGGCATATCACAATTCTTCCTCACATCATGGAATAAACTTTGTTTCAGTTTTTACCATCTCTTTCATATTTGTAAAAGTTACCCTAAACTCTGGAACTACTTTACCCCCTTGGTAAACATATACTTTGTCCCTTCTCTTGTTTGCCATTGTGCAAGATGAAGGAATTTACTCAAATTTATATGCTGTCTGTGCTTCTAGCAGAGTTTTACCCAGATTGAATCTGATTTTATTGCCTATCCAAATTTAAGATATCTAAAATTATGTGAACTTTTGTTTCTATAATGCTTAGTATTTAGGCTTCTTTATGTGGTTTTCTACATCTATTACTCGTTTTCACTGTACAGGGCTGGTGATGAAAATCCTGAAAACAACTGGCTATGCCATGTTCATAAAGAGCTAGAAAATCAGGGAATTACTTTGCCAGAAAGGTAAATTTAGTACACTCTGTTGTCCCTGATCCTAGAATGTCTTTATAATATATTATCTGTTGTATAATTGCAAAAAAAGAAATTGAACTGTAGAAAAGTGATTACTTGAAGCCATTTGTTGGGTTCTTTATCCATATTTCATATTTAGTTGCTATTCATGTGTATAATATTCCAATGCTTCCATATTTTGAGTATTGTGCAACTTTTAATTTGTCTTGGGTCCTTTTTTACTAAACCTAGAACTCGTATCAGGTCTTGGATCAGTTCCTTTTTAATCTTCTGTTTTTGGGTAAAGCAGTAATCAGCTGTCTGTTTCTTTTAGGGACGGAACAGGATAGGGCCCGTCGTGCTGGGGATTTTCGGGAGTCAGTGTGGGGCGGGATTAAAATATTCCTGTTTACTTATTTATTTAATTTTTAAAAAAATATATAAATATGTTTTTTGTAAATATAATTTAAATTGTAAAACATGAAATAAAATAGAATAAAGTAAAAATATAATTGCTGGGGTTGGTTCAGGGCAATGCTCGCCAAGGCGGGGTGGGTAATTTTGCTATCCCTATTTTCTTCTTGCAATTCCTCATTTCTATCTTTTGTTAATTACATCTGGTTTTTATCACCTACTCTACCTCTTAGTGTTTACACTATATTGTATTAGTATTTCCTTATCATTTGATCTTGGGGTATCTATGGATTTTTTTAACTAGTGTAATAGCGTTACCTTTTATTTTATCTTGGGATGGATTTACACTAAAAATGATTAATCATTGTAGGCAGAAATAAATGTGATAATTAAAATGTGTCAATAACACTATACATTTTTTTTTTCTTTTGTTGATCCAAGATGTTTCTGTGTTTCTAACCAACTATTTTCGTTCATTTTTATCATTTCTTGGGTAATTGGATTTTCACCAATAATTGACACCCAGGGAATCCACTCGATGTACGAACATCTCTTCTTATCATAACTTGATAAATCATCCAATAAACATTGAATATTCTTGTTTTCCTTCTTGTAATGGAACATGACATAACAGCGTTCTGCAGAATTAACAAAGGTGATCTCCAGAGATTTTATATTGCTGCAAATGGTGATTTATCGAGTTTAATATTATCAATAAAAAAAACAATACGTTGGAGAGAGACCTACAGAATTCTCTCTGGAGTAGAACTTGAGATGTGGTCACATATGGTCTTCTGGCATGGATTTGATGTGAAGCATCGCCCGTGCCTTATCATCCGTCTTGGCATGGCTTCCACCAGCTTGTCGTCTCATGATAGACCACGCTTTGTTCAGGCAGTGGGTATGCTCTCTTGGTTCCCTCTCTGGTTTTTTGTTTATTTTTCTTCTTGATGTGTACCCATGGTTCTAAGGTATTATACAGACCTGTTCAATTGTCCCTATTTACACTTTGCAACTGTATTCTAATCTCAAATTGGAATCTGAAATACTTTGCCCCTGTTTGGGCTCCATTAAAATGAGATTTGGGGGAAAATGTGTTTTGGAATAGTGATTTTTTGGGGAACTTGTGGTTACTTAATTAATTAAGAAAAAAATTTGGGTTTACATGTAACATTATTTTATGGAAGAATGTGATTGAAAATGAGTTTTGGAAAAATGGAGCCCAAATTTATGTAGTGTCTGTATCCATCGTGTATTCTTAATCCATTATTTATATATGTTGAGTAGCAATTTCTTAGATGGCTCTTGAGACTGCTAGTAAGGCATAGCGTGATTTTATATTTTCTAGGTTCTTTTATTTTTTTGTTTTGGTTTTTTCTTGGGAGGCTGTGGACGTAAAGGAATGACTGATGCATTATTTATCACATCAAATCCTGAAAAGTTTAGGATCGTAGAGGACTTTTATTATTATTTTTTATTACATATTGTAAGAAGTTCATGATATTCAGGACAGCATGAGATTCCAGGGATCTGTTGGCAGTTGGTAGGTAGATGAATCAAATCACAATATAAGAGAGGTCTCATAGCTTGGTTGCGAAAAAACATTTCAATGTTAGAAATTAGATGCAAGTAGTTTTTCAAGAAAATTTGATGTTTTTGCCATGTAGATATTTTCATGAATGACTTTGTAACATTTTTATCGAGTTTAGATTCCTGCAGTTATCCCTTGAGAAAATAAATAAATAAATGAAAGAAGCGATTATTTGTGCTTACATTTAGCAATGGCTAGAAATTCTTATAAGAAAATTTTATTAATGAGTTTTAATTAGAGATTTTATTACAATATTACATCATATCTTACACGTATCTTTGATTGAAGACATGCTCAAAGCACACTCATGAAAACAAAAAATTTATGAATGTTAGTATTGAAGTATCTCAGGTGGAGCATGGGGTGCTGCATTTGGTGGATGGAAAAAATCCTCAAATTACTGTTTTATTGGACTGTCACGGTTCGTCGCCTCTGAGATTTCCTATGCAAATGCTAAGATACTGCTCTAATCTGTTGCAAGATAACTTCCCAAATCTTCTTGGCTGTTTGTTTATTATACGGCTTCAACCGGTTGTTCGTGTACTAGCTCAAACATTTATTCAAGTAAGCTTCAGACTTGTACTTTAGGATTGATAGATGATATTTTTATTTTCATAAAATATGAAAATATTTAAAAGTTCTCTCTCTCTGGATAACTCAATTGTTGTGTGAAAACTGCACCATTTGTCTTCAACTTTTCATTGTTGTTGCACAATCTGTCCACAACGATGGAAACCATTCGAGTATTGTCACATGGCCATCTTTTTGAAGCCAAAATTTGTTTCCCAACTTGGGTTGGTGCTAAAAAATTTGAACTTTGAAGCGAGTCATGTTTCCATGAGTGGCAAGTGACAATTTAACAAAGATTTGAACGGTTTTCACTTCTAGGGACCAGTTATGCAACATTTGGGGTCAATTTACTCCTTTTTAAGGTCAGGGTCCAACTTGCATCTGGATAGTAGGTTGGGAACCAATAGTGCAGTTTTTCATTTATTTCATTTTGTGAAAATGTGATGTCTCATTGACTCATTTCATCAGGTTCTCAAACCTGCCACAAAGGAAAAACTGAGAATTGAAGGAGAGACGTACCTGGAGGTTCTTTCTGAGTGTTTACAGACGCTCCCATCATACCTTGGAGGACAATGCACATGCACAAGATGTGCTAACCCTAGAATGGAGATTGTACAACAATCTTCTGATGTTGAGCCAAACACAGCAGAGTCTGCTGCTGATACTAGTAGTACAGAGGATTTTCCATCATTGCCTCCAAGCTATCCAGATGATATATCGGTTGATAACTGCATGCAGGTACTGAGGGCTGCTATAATTGGCATTCTCATATTTTGGGTTTTAATAACTTTTCTGGGAGGAATATATGATCCCATAACCCGTCAAATCTTACCTCCCTAAGGTTTTTAATTTTTAAGAATGCTTCTCGCCTCCTCGTCTTCCCAGGATTTTATTTTAGTGTCCCCCCCCCCCCAACAAAGCCTTGGTACCTATCAAACTGGTGTTTATATGAATAATATCTGTGTGAGCCATAGTGATTTGTTGTATTTAAATGGAAAACTGCAGTAAGTAATCTAAATTATTTTGAATCTTTTTTTTTTTTAAATGTAATTCGTGTCACCTGGAAGTAGAAAACTCGTATTGTATGAAGAAAAATGATGTAGATGAATGCTAATAAAATTACGATGTTGCAGTTCTATTTTTCTTGGTTTCCATTTTGTCTTTTTTTTCGGGAGGAGTAGTTTTAGGTTTCATCTTAAAATGTAAACTTCATTATTTTTGTCTTGGGTAAATTCAATAGGAGTCTCCAACCTTTCCTAAGTGTGACCTCATATCTCCAACCTTTTAACATTGTGCGCACGATGCCCCAATTTGATTGAAACATATAGATGGACAGTAAAGGATCACGTGGGTAGGCACGTCATAAATGTTTAATAAGTTCATATTTTTTACAACTTATTAATATCAGAATTTTTTTTTTATATAACTTTTTTGTTCCATTTGCTTACTTTATCATATATAGAGTCGTCTTATCCCAACTTGATTAAAACATCGGTAAAAATCACGTGATAGGCACGTAAATTCGTATTTTGACAACTCTCTAATATCGTAAAAAAAAAATAAAAAATCGTAAAAATTACTTTTTTCTTTTATATCATATATGGAGTCGTCGTATATTTTTGTTCCCCGAGTAAATTATCTTGAGCCACACACGTTATTTTGGCACTAAGATAAAAAATGACTTCCTCAATATCTCTTCATCTTCTGCAATTTTTTGAATTATAAGATTTCGAAGTTTGTTGGTACCATGAAGTTTTGCTGGTGACACTCCATAGGTTCACATATGTAAGCCGCAGCTAAAGTTGCAAAATGAAAGTTTGGATACCACTTGCAATAATTGAAGAAACATGACGAGGATAGGAACAAATGAAGGTACTACTGAAACAAGAACAACAACTATTAATTCGAACGTTACGATATTATGGGAAAGTTGACAAATAAATGATAGGACTATGCTACTTGTACATAATTTCTTGTACATAAGGGTGTCCACCCTCTCACATGGGGTGGACCCCGCATGATTAAAAATAGATTTGGTAAAAAATGAACTTTTTTGGATCAGGTATGAAATAGGTTCTTATTCTAGTGTGTTTAATAGCGTATTTTGGAGGGTTTAAACGATTCTTTGAATCTGGCGAACTTTCTTATGGTTCTGAATTGATCCGATTGTGAATCTGTGATCAACATATTTATCTTTAGTAGAAAATAAACGGTTTAAGAAATTCTTCGATAAATAATTCATTTATAAATTTGTCGAGTTCATGCTAAAGATATATTTTAATGCCTCTTTACGTTATTATAAATGAGGAATTTTCAGAAGAAAACATTATTTTCTTGGTAAATAAATTTTCATCAGAAATAACTTTGGCTTCTTGATGCTTGAATTCATGTATTAATATTATTTTGGTGATGTCAAGATTAACGTTGCACTTGTATTTCACGTCTGATGATAAGCATTGAAATATTGCACTTGTAATTGAAATTATAGGTGGCTTATTCTGTAATGAAGTTATTATTCTTCTTAAAGAGCTGGAGTTGTTTAAGATTGTCATACTTCTCTTTTTTTAACTTTCTGTTTGCTTTCATGGAGTAGGGGAATTGTTTTCAAATATACATTTGCATATATCTATTCTATTGCTGTCATACATCTTTCAAATATGCTACATATAATTCTGATTGCTACTGTATTTTCAAAATTTATATGGACGTGAAACACTGTTTCCTTCTGCTCTTTACATTGTTAATCATCTAAAATTCTATATGAGAATATATTATTTACAAAGGAAGTCTTATAAATTTTAAGCTAAAGGTGGTTGAGTTCTGTTATTAAATATAATTGGATGCATCCATGATACCATTTGCTACCTTTGTGTTATATTTTAAAATGTATTGTTTTTTCTAAGATTCCTCCTTTGTTATATGTTTATGTTTTACTTTCAGGTTCATTGAAAAGTTTGGCATGCATATTATTGTTGGTATAAAGATGGGTGGGAAGGATGTGGTATTTATGAAACAACAGCACTCTTCTTCACTTCGACAGGTGGATGTGCAGCAAATATTGATAATGATGGCTGATAAAAGGTTCTATAAGCAAATGAACAATAAGGAATGGATACAGAGCAAGTATTAACAGACAGAGAAGGTTTAGAATTATTTTATATGTATTCAATTTATGCCAAGGTACAACTTTGAAAACTTTGAAGTCTTTGTTACTTTATTGGAATAACTTTTGTTACATGACAATTTCAGTGTTTCAAATAGAAAAAAAGAAGAAAGGATAGCAGAAACTATTTGTTATAGTCATATTCTTATCATACTTCTTTTATTTGTTTAGGGGACTTTAAGGATAAGCTTTAGTTGGAAGTTAAATTCTTTATTAGATTCAGACTTCAGAGGCTTCTTCTTGTTTTTATCTGTCTGAAAAGATGTAATTCATCAATAAAAAGGGATCAATTTTTGTACATCAAGTAGAGATTTAAGTGGTGTAATTTAAAAGATGTCTAAATATTCATTACTTGAAACAATTCAATACTATATTTGCCATTGTTCAATTGTCGAATTACCAAAATTATAACGGTTATCGTGCAACGCGCGATCTACACTAGT